TTTAATCTAATCTATACTATTAATTAAATAATTACCACCCGTTATTTAATGATTGACCAATCAGAATTAAAGCCCTCTATGCTATCGTAGAGTCGACTGAGTCGACTTTTTGAAAAATCGTCCGATTTTATTGACTAATGCAGAATCGACTACAAACACTACAATTATATAGATACCTAGTTTATATAATTTAAAATATATAACTTACGTGTCTAAGAAAGAAGCACTACACATTGTTATAGCAAAATTTTGAAAAGACATCAAAGTCGCCTAATTAACCGGTAAGTCAACCATAATATCAGGATGAGATTTGTAGTTCAAAAAAATATTTAAAATAGCTTTATTACAACCGTTACAAGTAATATCAGTGGGAGGAGTAGGACTCAATCCACCAATGTAACCTAATATCACAGCACTATTTGGATCCAAATTGCAATAACCTCCGAAAGAGTTCTTGAAGCACAAGGAATCCTTTAGTGGGAAATTGAAAACAAGCATTGTTTTTAAGTAAGAAAGATAGAACCTTTCGCAGCAAGATCTGATTGACATTGAGTTTTAAGCTCACTAGCATTAGCAGAAGTAATGCTATCATTGCATTTCGGTGCATAACAATAACTATCATAAATTGGTTTTGCACCTTGCAATGGATATAATTTGATAAATAAGGCGCAACTGTTGAGTGCTGAACTTGAAGCAAGTTTAAGTCTAAAATTAATTAAAATTTAATGTTTGATTTGGTTTAAGTTTGAAGTTTAATCAAACTCAAACTTATACTAAATCAAATCTAAAAACTCTAAAACCAAAACTCTTGCTAATAACAATGCCAAGATATATCATGTAAAAATACAAAACTATACAGTATGCAGTATATAGCAAAAATCTTCAAAAAAGTTTTGATATTGCAGTATTGAAATATAAAATTCTTATATTTATATTCAGCAATAATTTTTAAAAAAATTTATTAATCTATTTTATAGAAGTTAATTGCCTAGTAAGTTAATGTAAACGTGGTTTAGATCAAATATGTACAAGTGATATTGTTTAATTCAATATAAGTTAAAGGTTTTAATTCATCTTAAAGCATCTCTAGTAAGAGTACTAATAACAGAAAAATAAAACAAAGTTACTATTAAAATCTTTAAATGAAAAATATAGCTTTGTAATATTAAATTGTTTGGCAATAATCGTGTATCATGGTCGGCAATCACGCTTTGATCAACATTATCACACAAATATCACAGTCATCGATTTGATTGGTTAATTGTCATCCCATGTGACAAAATCGAATTTATGTGACATATTGAATGGAAACTTCGGGGCAGGACCCAGAAACCAATTTTTTTTGGATATCGCAATATAAACCAATTTTATCCTTTTTTATGCATGTAAAGTTACATGATAATTTAATTGGCTAACTATTTTTAGGTGCCAATCATCTTCGTGCATTTCGTGTAACTTCGCGTGCATGAAAAGAAACATCCGTATTTTACATTATACGAATTCAAAGCTAAGAGAATATTTTAAGATTTATAGTAACTATAAATGTCAAAATGACAGTTAAAAAGATATTTAAGAAGTGTAAATTTTAATTTTAACTTCATTTTGTTTTATTTTTATATCTTGCATATTAATTTAAAATTATTAAATCGTTGGTATGTAGTTATAGATATGATTAGGTTAAGCAATAGTATAAATAACGGGTGGTAATTATTTAATTAATAGTATAGATTAGATTAAATGGCAACTCGGTAATAACTGAAAAATATAGTAGAATGATTTTTTAGAATTTATAATACGGTTTCGTTTATAATCTATAGCAATAGTCACATTTTGATCAACATAATTTATACTATATAAAAAACAATATTTAGTTATTACCAAAACATTTTTTACCGTTTTTAAAAAACAATTTTTCAGGGTCCCTGCTTCGGGGGTTTCGGGTTGTAGTTTCGGGTTTCGGCGTTTCAGTCTTTTTTAAAAAATCTGAAACTAGTTTCGGATTAAGACCTACTCGAAACTAGTTTCGGGCAGGTTTCGTTTCGTTTCCCACACCGCACCTAGAGTACACATTTTACAGAACAGACCCAGTAGTATTATTAAGTTGAATATAACTCGAAGCATTAAATCAGATATATTTCGAAGTATAATCCGAAGTACAATCCGAAGTACTGTTACAATTTGTGTAAGCTGTGCAGACTCCATATCTTATAAACCCCTAATGTTAAGTTGGATTTCGCGATCAGTTTTTTATTGGTGATAAACAATGAGTCATGTGCGGTATGGTCCTGTTGTGGCCAATCATCTTGTTACGTTAATTAATCATATAATCATATAATTCGACATATTACTACTAGACGTGTTTGATACATGATGTTTCTATATAATGAAAAACCATTATATTATTATGTTCCTGTGTTCAAAATGTTTCACGATTTTCTATTATATTACAGTACGTGTATCATTCAAAGGAATTAATGAATAATGTTGCCGTCGTCTTTTATATAATAAAAATGAAATCCCAATCAATATAATTGCACCTGCTCCAACACCGACACCAATTAATATTCCATGTTTATATGACGAGTCTAGCTGATTTGTCTGAGTTTCTTTATATGAAGGTACAGAAGAAATAGTGGAAAATGGAATATTCCCATCTAATAAAAAGAAAGAAAAAACGATTAGTCTAGAGCAAGGACTGTATAAAAATGATAAAAATGTTATCGACCAACCAAATAATGTATATTATCATATAATTCACTAGAAATTAATTTCACTAATTTACCAGTAGCGGTGAAATATTTCATCAAATTATCAATAGTGATAAAACTATTTCACCATTCTAATTCTATTTCACTATTATCTTTATATTGGGGTTTCAAAATTAACAAATGAGTGACGCATTTCGAAAATAAGGAGGATTTTTTCAATAACGTATGTTGAATTATAAATTGGAAAAATAAAATAAGATCCTCTGATTTAATTTTGAAACCCCATTAATGCTATGTATTATTACAAATAAATATTTAGCACTGGACATATAATACTATGCATTTATATACAGTACTTATGTAAATTTAAAATATACAGTATAACTTACCCAAGAAAGAAGCACCACATTTTGTTTTAACCATAGTTTCAAAAGACGTTGGATCAGCTGGTAATTCAGCCAAGGATTCAGGATGGGCATTAAAGTAATTCACAAAAGTGCTTAAAATAGCTTTATTACAATCAGTACAATTAATATCAGTGGGAGGAGTAGCACTAAATCCAAGAAGGTAGCCTAACATGATGTCAGTATTTGGATCCAAATCACAATATCCTCCGGAAGAGTTCTTGAAGCAAAAGGCATCCCTCATCGGGGCATTGAAAACAAGACTTTGTTTTATGTTAAAAATGATAGGATCTTTTGCAACAAGAACTGTTGCGCATTGGGTCTTAAGTTCAGTAGCATAAGAAGAAATAGTGTTATCATTGCATTTCGGTAAAGAACAATAACTATCGAAGACTGGTGTTGAGTTAGTTGCATTTTGCAATGGTGCTAACTTAAGAAATGAAGCACAACTGTTGAGGTCCGAGCTTGAACCAACTTTAATAATTTCTTGTTGACATGTAAAGGAGAGATTTGTTTGTTGTGCGGAAACAAAATTGAATGTTACGAGCACGAAAGCGAAAAGTGAACTTATTAATAGGAATTTCATCAATTAATTAAACTTTCGTAAAAGAAATTTGGTGTAACATGTAAATAAACCCAATTTTTATCAAAACAAAATTAATTTTTTAATATTAGGTAAGGGTAAGAGTAAAGAATTAAAGCAATATTTATGTAAAACTTAACAAGGAATTAATTTTTTTATTTTGTTCCACAAAACTGATTTACATGTTACACCTGATCTTAAGTTTTAATTGGTTAAAATGCCTAGCATTATGGTGCTACGTATACCAAATATTTGATAACTATACGTAGAGACAACTTAATTAATTTTTGTACTTCTGTGGACGGTGCCATATATTCTTTTTTAGTAAATTGGCCTTCTCTTTTTATAACGAACTGATAATTTGAAGAAAAACTCGTTATAGAAAATTACTATATTTTCTTAAAAGCACTTTTTATGCCGAAATAATATAAAATTTAAAATTTTGAGTTCGTTACTATACATCCAGAGCTAACTCTATATATCGATCTCTATTCTAAACGAATTTACGGACAATTAGTGTTAATAACTGACTATTATAGCTAGGGATGGGTTCGACTACGAACGGCTACGATTATTAATAGCCAATTTGCTAAATACTGAGATGATTTTTTGTTCTTGAGCTTTTAATTAAAGTTGTTCAAAATAAAATTCTGTCATCCCATATTATAAGTAGAAAGAACGATACCTTCTCTGGAACTCGGAATTTTAAGATCCGTAACGCTATAGCCGGCTAATAGCCGGCTATGACGTTAACAAATCTTAAAATTTCGAGTTCCAGAGAAGGTATCGTTCTTTCTACTTATAATATGGGATGACCAGAATTTAA